TATATATATATATGTGTGTGTGGGTGTGTGTGTATCTAGCGGAATACTACAATATATATAACTGATATGTGCGTACATTTGTAACCACAAATTTCACCAGTGTGAGATTTTGATAAGTTCATGAGCATGAATGCTAAAAGGTTATTCCTAAAGAATATCTCCATGCACACTCCAATCTAGATATCTCTGTGACATATCTCATTCTTCTTATTTTTCTCTGTGATACTTCTCATGTGTCTGGATGTCAATACCTTTTTGCCAATCTTCACTTTGTAGTCAACGCTGACTATGGGCAGTTCACATGTATAGCAGTCATCCATTTTCATTTGCTATTCTGTCTGAATTCTATGTTATCTCGTAGTCTACTTCCCAGTCCTGCCGGTACATATATATATGTTGCTTCTCGTCCTATTGTGAGGAAAAAGTAATAACTCAACACCTTAGATAGTTGGAAAGCCATCATGATACAACCAATGTTTACTTTTCGCTTGTACTTCTTCTCAATTTCTGAATCTGCTAATGCGGTCAGCTGTCTTTGCCACAGATAGATACTACGCATAGAGCTCGAAGTAAAGGGTGATGTGCAGGCCCTGGTTTCAGTGGTTTGGTCTATAAAATGCACCCCCAAAAAAGTAAATATAATAACGGTCAATGAATATAATATAAAATATAGCACCGGGTATCCACACCTGATCTGCTCATCAACAAATATTTAGAAATGCCACAGATGCCTTTGGCATATCGGATAAATAGTTGGTACCAACTTCATCTGTATATGTACACAGATTGTAGATCAGAAAGAATGTATATACAGTGCAATGTCTCTTATAGCTTGCCCGTGTGCTATATGCGAGCACAGCAGCACGCTTACAGGGAATAGTACTGAGGCCAGGCTACTGACCGCACAGATGGTCGCCACGGCAAGTATTGTATCCCAGCTTCTGTCTAAACCATTCTCAGAGCATTGGTCTTCGTCACTATCGCATACTTTCATCACTACCACTTTCTCACTATCACACACAAACACACACACACACAC